GCAACAGTGTTCCCTGCAGGATTCATTACCCTGATTGCCGGGCCCACCTTCTGGGGTCCTTGATCCAGTCTGTCTGGGTGGACCTGAGAGCTTGAATTGAACAGGTTCCCAGGTGCTGCTGCTGGCTTTGGACCACATTTTTGAGGATCACCAGCCTAGAGGCAATGGGGGGCATTTCTGGTTCTTGACTAAGGGGGGTCCCCGATGATAGTGTGGGGGGGCATTGGAGGAGGAAGGCATTTGGAAGCATGAGGTGACGAGCCCTCAAGCGTTGGATTGTGGAAGTGGGAAGGAAAATCTGTGCAAGAGAGATTCTGAAAGGAAGAGCTGACTATCTCTGTGACTGACTCGTGATCAGAAAGGGGGAGAAGCTGGCAGTGACTGGCCCACATTACAGGGGGCAGACTGGCTTTTGGAAGAAGATTGAGCATCGGTTTAGACAGCAGCTGGACTTTGAAAGGGGGCTCTGGATGGCACTCCAGGACAGGGGCAGTGGGACTCAATACGGGGGTTCGGAAGCTCTCTTGCCTGTGTGGGGTCAGGCGAGCTCCCCTGAAGCTCCGCCTCCCCAGAAAGTTGGAGGCAGGTACAGGAGGGCCTGCAGTCACAGGATTGTTTTCCCTTCTTGGATACTTTCTTGCTCAAGCAGGAAGCAAACTAACAACCCCTTTTGTTGCATCCTCCCAAAACACCCACACTAACCCATAGACAGGGAGAAGGCCACCCAAGACCCACGCCAGTTAACCAAGGAGCCACAGCTTCCTGAAGAAGGGGCTGGGAGGGCTCCCCAGGCCCTGAAACTCCAGTGAGGTCTTCATAGGACAGTGAGGTCGCGTAGCGTCATCCCCTCAGACAAGTGTATTCCTCAGTCCCGGAGCATACATACGACAGATTTTTTTTTTTAATTTTTTTTTTTTTTTAGATTTTATTTATTAATAGAGAGAGGCAGAGACACAGGCAGAGGGAGAAGCAGGCTCCATGCAGGGAGCCCAACGTGGTACTTGATCCCGGGTCTCCAGGATCACGCCCTGGGCTGAAGGCGGCGCTAAACCGCTGAGCCACCTGGGCTTCCCTTTCTTTTACATTATCTTGAAAGCATTTTTCTCCATTATGCTGAGAGGTTGTGCTGATGTCAGGAGGTGATAAAAGTCCATACATCCTTTGTGCATTTTCCATGCTGCCAGGAGGGCTAGTCATGCTTCGGAGGTTGGGATGGAGCTAACACGATCTGATTTATAATACTCTCCTAACGCAGTACAGAAAACCTTCAAAGCAAGCACCCAGAACAAAGAGAATTGCAAAGGAGCCACTCAGAACAGTTATATCCGGTGATACCTGATGCATTTTATTTAATGCACATTTCTGTAGTAGATACCACATCTTAGAAAATTTCAGATTTCTCTTTTAAGAGCACCATTTCATGGAGGATGATTGCATCCTTTAAAACCATGTGGCCTCAGGACTTGCAGCTCTGTCTGCCACAGGCATTCCTTTACAGCTGTATGTCTTCAGATGAAGTCTGCAGGCCTCTTTTGTCTCCTGGAACTGGCTCGTTACTGCTGTTTGTCGCTGCAATCGGTATGACATGAAGGCCTTAGAAGAAGATCCCCGTGTCTCACCTCAGCATAGATGGTGACCAGAGGATTAATGCAAATCCAAGCAGCCCTGCCCAGCTTCTGGGACCACAGGGTGGCTGGGGGCTAGAAGCCAGAGTAACAAGGTCAGAGGAAGGTTCAGTTCAAATCCAGGCTACCTCCAGACATTTCAATCAAGGCAGGAGGTGGCCAGCATCTCTGGCAGCTAGTTAAAAACTAGCACAGTGATTCTCAACCCTGGCTGCACTTTAAAGTCTCCTGGCAGGCTCTTAGTCTCACTGCCTGAGTTCTACCCCACAGGGATTCTGGTTCAGTTGGCCTGGAGTGGGGCCTGGGCATCAGGAGTTTCTCATATGGCTCTACCATATAGCCGGGGATGAAAACATCGAGTGAGGGGGATTGCAGAAAGTCCCTGCTGGTCCGGTTCATCCGATCCTATTCCATTCCAATCCATTCTGTTCTACATTTGCATTTTCTTGAGCAACTATTATGTGGAAGGTACTGGAGAAATCAGGACTAATTGTGATCCTGTCTCAAAAGGAACAAGCTATCGAGTTGTGACAAATGCCCCATAATGCAGTGGGCTGCACCCCACTCAGAGTTCCAGGGGAAGGGGATGTTTTTGGGAGGAAGAGCGGAGGAAGGGGGAAGGTCAAGGAAAGATAAGGAGGGCTGGTGAGTATTTGCCCTGGGCTAGATGGCATGTATGCCTGGCGGGGGCGGGGAGGATGCAAGTGGCACTTTTCAATAGGATATTTTTATTGTTGGCCACATGATGACAGGATGAGCATTAAGAGACACTCCAGGGAGCCTAGTGACAGACTGGGACTGGAGGTGGGGCAGAGCAAAGTCCTTCCTTGTGCTGGCTGGTGGGAGTGGGGGGCGGGGGCTGTGTCCAGCCCCCTCCCTCCTGGGTGCTAGTCCTGGCTATGTCGACTTACAGGTTGGGTCCCTGCCAGGTAGAGTACAGTCCATCAATCCATGTAATTATCTTACTGTTGTCTCTAAAGGAGTGGAAACCAGCATGTGGGTCCCTCCAAACAAGACCTGCTGAAGCAAAGGGGCTAATTATGCTTGAGGCTCTATGTACAGGCAAGCTTTCTTGCCAAGGGGCCATGCCCCTATGTTGCATTGCATGAGAACTACTGCTACCTGACCTTTTACACCATAGCCTGTGAATGCAAACGCTAGCCCAAATGGGTAACCAGCATTAAAAGTGCTAGGTTCAGGGGGGCCTGTAAGCTGCCAAAGCCGGAGCATTTTAGGAAGAGTCCAAGTTGAGCATGTCCTCCGGAGAGCATGGGGCTCCTTCCACGTGGGGGCTCATCCTGTGTGCTGTGCCACACCTGCCAACTTTATTTCAACACATGGAAGTGTTTGCCATGGTTATTGAGGTGTGTGTTCTGCTCTGAGGCTTTCTTTAGGTAGAGCCTGAGTAGATCTCTGCATATCCCCACAGCCACCTCTGCTTCTACTTCTTCTGTCTCCCCAAAGTATCTTCGTGAACAAATTCAAGTTTTAACTTCAAAGGAGAGAGAAGAAAGCCATGCTTTCCTACAGGTCATGCATTGCCACTTTAAGACAGTTTTATTTGGGCAGTAAAATCTCTTGAGTTGTTCTTGGCAGAAGTTCTAATAAAATGGAAACCTTGAAATCTGCTTAGAGCTGTAAGTACGGTCTCACTCTGTGTTTTGGGCACTCAAGGTTGTAGGCGATCTTATTAGTTGATCTGAGTTGCTTTCAAAGAGGCTTGGTATCCAGGCATTCTTTCAGAATGTAGAGGAGATCTGCCATTTGGCTTGAGTGAGCTCTATGCTTGAGACCAGAGGAGCTGATGTGATGGAGAGCAGTGCTTCTTAAAGTGTGGACCCTGGACCGGCAGTGTTAGTGTCACTGGGTACGAGTTAGAAATGCACGTCTCGAGGTCTACCTGGGACCTCTGGGTGATCTTCACATGCATTGGAGTTTGAGAGCCACCGCTTCAGTGTGACACGGCTTTTAGAAAATGGACTAAGGGGGAGAGAGAAGAGATGATGCTCATTTCAGCCGAACACTGATCTATCTGCTTGATCTACTGAATCTGTTTAGCAAAGGTGGTCCTGGGCATCCACCTGGAGGAGGCACCGTGGACTGCACAGCCCAGTTGGGTCCCTTGTGGGAGGTTTACCTTGCTTTGTTGACACCTTAGGGGGGAAGCTAGCAGCAGGTATCCTGGGGAAGGAGCACAAATTGGTTTCATGCTGTCAGCATGGGTTCCAAGGGATAGGAAGAGTTCTCTGCACCGTATCTATTTGTTTTAGGATTAATATTCACTGTATTAAAGCAGCAAATTAAAAATCCTAGTTCTTAAATTTTTTGCTTCAATTTACAACTCATATCCTATTTTTAATCTAGCAAGTTTTTTGAACTCTTTATCGAAGTACAATTAATGGTGTCATATTAGTTTCAGGTCGACAGTATGAGTCAGTTCTATACATTTGCCTGTGCTCATCGACATAAGTGTCCTCTGAATCCCTTTTATCTCATAAGTCTTTTTACAATCCTTTTCAAGGAAGCTTTGGATAAAATTTGGCACCACTTGTAAATTTGGTGATTAACAACTTTTAAACTTCTAAAACTGCATTGAGAAATTTAACATATTCTGTTTCCTTTTCAAGTTCTCTGGTTGGCTGAGAAGCCCTTTGCAAGTATTTCAGTGGTTCCTACAAACCTAAAAAGTAGTCCTATAAACATGGGAAGTCTTAAATTCTCTTACACATTCTAACACTGCTTATTAACCTAATAAGACTTTAAAATCACAAATCTAAGTCTGTGATGTACTTTAAATTAAAATCACAAATCCAATCCACTGGATACTCTGTCAATTTCTCTTAAACACCACAAGTTCTAAAAGAATGTACAAATCCCCTGTCACAAAGCTATTAATACTACAGGACTGACTCCATCCTTTTTAATTCTTATTATCCCCAGGGATAAGATGCATTCTTTTTTCCCCCCCATTAAGGATATAATTGTCATTCATCCCCAACACTTTTGACATTGCCTCAAGTGGAATTTTGGAGGATTATTTTAAAAATTTTTTAAAGTTTCATTTTATTAATAATAAAATAATACAATTCTTTTGAACATGAACCTGGAAGGTGGGTACTCTTGTAGATATCTCTGCACTCCCGACCCCGTGCCCCCTTCCCCAAAATAGCCCCTATGTGGGATGTTTCAAATCACACAAAAGCTCCTTTTTGGGCTTGGTAAATTGGAGCAGCCTGCAAAACAAAAGCCCCGACTTGAGGACCAGGCCAAAGCCAGGTGGCCTTGCTGCCATCAGATTGTTGGGGTCATGGGTGTGTGTGTTTGTGTGTGTGTGAATGAGGATGATTCATGTCCCATTTTCCTCTTTCTGGGCAGGTTGGCCTCATCCAGCTTGGGCAGGAACAGGTGCTAATCCAGCCTCTCAACAATTCCCAGGGCCTGCTCAGCAGAGGAGAGCACCTGGTCAGACGCAAATGGTCCTTGACACCCAGCCCCTCCACCGAGGCCCACATACCTGGACAGCTTTGCCAGGTGCTAACAGGTGAGTCTGGGAAACAGCATGATTGACAGTACACGCCGTTCGACACTGCTGCATGTCCCCAAATGCCCTGAAGTCGTGGGCAAGAACTTACCTTTCCCTAGATTTTGAAACTTTAATTGCCCCTAAGACCACTGCCTTTTCCTCTCTGTGTAGATTAGTGTCAGCATTTCATGTGTAGCAGCCCTTTGAAAAGGGAAGGCACCCAGGACCTCATTCATGCTGTGCCTCGATTGCATAGATTAGGAGCAAGTGGAGGGCCTCCAAACCTGGATGGCTTGTTTGTTATCAAACCCTACATTGGTGGCAGAGCTAGAACGAGAATTCCCTCCCTCCCTGGCCAGAGTTTGCTCTTCAACACAGGGGTCCGCAGGCCTGGCTGCACTAATCAGAGCCACCTGGGGGCCTCTGAAGCCATGATTCTCAGCAGCATCAGCACTGCAGCCTGGGAACCTGTCAAATGCACGTTCTCAGCCCTCTACAGACTTCCTGAATCTGAAGCTGTGCGGGTGGGGCCAGGAATCCTTAGTCTCACAGGTGATCCTGATGTATTCTAAGGCATGGGGACCACTGCTTTAAACAATGCCTTGCACTGACCTGTCCCTCCAGTCTCCTGATCCAGTTGGTCTGGGGTGTGACTGGGGTGTCCATGCTTTTAAAGGTGATTCTAATAAGTAGCTTGGGGTAAGAACCCAGGGTTCTTACATTTTGTACATTTGAGCAACCTGTGGATTACCGATCAGTCAGGTATTTTAAGAGTTTTTCACGGTCACTGAAATTGACACTGCAGTGACACCGCCAGTCATCCTGTGTAGTGTCCCCTGATGAAGACAGATAAACTGTTATTCACAAGTGGCATTTCCTCCCTGGACAGCATGGAACTCCATGGCTGACCAAGACTTCTTTTTGGATAAAAAAATAGAGATATAATGTCTCTGTTCGGTACTCTAGTAACATTGGAAATATATCAGTGATGTGACTCTCCTTTAGAACAGCTTTAGGGTATATGAACAAGCCTTGCAGCTCAGCTTACTTGTTTCATGGAGACCTGGTCGTATCCAGGTAGCGGCCTTCCTCAGCTGGTCTACATTTGGCACAGAGGTATTGGAGGTGATTTTACTGAGCTACGGCCATATCCGAAACCACAGGAGAGCTCTGAGTGGTAAATAGAGACTGCCACCATACATGAGGATTTTGCTCTGCTCTTTCCTGTACCCTTACAAAAGTAGGGGAATGTGGATCTCAGCATAAAACTTAAAAAAAAAAAAAAAAAAAAAAAAAACCTCTTTAAAAGGAGGCAGGGTGTTTGGGTAAGTTGGTTGGTTGTGTGTTTGGGCTTGATGTTGGTGTGTTATTTTAAACATCAGCCAGTGGGCAGCCCCGGTGGCTCAGTGGTTTAGCACCGCCTTTGGCTTGGGGTGTGATCCTGGGGGCCTGGGATTGGGTCCTGCATCGGGCTCCCTGCATGCAAGGAGCCTGCTTCTCCCTCTGCCTGTGTCTCTGTCTCTCTCTCTCTCCGTCGTGAATAAATAAACAAAATCTTTAGAAAAAAAATCAACCACCTGTCAGTTTTGGTGGGGCAGTTTTTTTTTTTTTTTTAAGCCTGCTTTCAAAGTAACTGTTGCTCACTCTACACCTGTGTGCATTTTCTGCTAATCTGAATATATTGTTTCAGAGACGGGGATTACCCTGAGGCAGTGGGTCTCAGGGCTGGCTGCCCATTGGCATCACCTGGGGAGCTTTAACAATTCACGCCTAGGTCCTCCCCCGAGGAGAGCTGCTTTAATTGGTCTCGGGCAGGGCCTGGGCATCTGGTGATTTAAAATCTCCCCAGGTGGTTCTAATGTTCAGCAGGCGCTGAGAATTGCCATGCTAAGGACTATGAAACATGAGTAATAGCACCGGTGAGCCATCGGAAGTGGGTTTTTCAGGTGAGAACCACCAGGCAGGGCCCCACCATGAAGTCCAAGGGAAATACATTTTATTCTCACTTTTCCCTCTATTCAAGCTAGCGCTCATCTATGGCTAGTTTAGGATCAGAAACCCAGGGTGCTTGTGGATGATATCATGGAATATTTGTCTCATTACCTACTGCCATCCTCTTTAGGGGCATGCATGATACCCGGGATTGCTGACAAAATGATAAATTATGCTCGGGTTTGCATTTTTTTTTTTTTTGTTCCTGGGGCTGGTTTCAAGGCACCCGTTGATAGAGTGTTTAGCTTATAATGAAGGAAATGAACAAAACCAGAGTGGGGAGGATGTGATAGAAACAAAGTTAAAATAAGAGCAGCCATGCAAGAAATTTCTGAATTTGCTTAAAAAAATCATCTCCCCTTTGTTGCCCCCACATTTCATGTGCTCAGAGCCACATGAATATTTAAGTTGGGACCAGTTCGGACTCTGTCCTGGGTAGGAACACAGACACAGGAGAAAAGTATATATTTCCCTTCTGGTCCTTCTTGTTTTGTGTGAAATACTCCCTAAGTTTTGTTGCCGTATTGAGAAAGACCGTGGGCCTTCTACTAGGCTTAGGTAATAAAGCAATTAACCCTTATCTAATGTGGATTAATTTCCCGTGAATTTAGAAATTTAATTGAGAAATTGAGAAAATCAATTTACTGAGAAACCAGGAAGATACAATTTTGGCTTCCTCGAAATAGGGATCAGATGAATCATCTAAGATTTCCTATGGGAACATATTCTTTATGGCTGAACGTGGCTGTCCCAGGTGTCATTGTTTTGCCTGGGATCTTGTGCTACCCCAACCTTGGACCTGGCCTGGGAGTAACCAGCTGGCTCTTGCAGGTGAGGAGTCGGATAATTCTTCTTCCTCCAGGAACCACTCAATTTACCTGAGCGCTGAACTGTGATAAGCCATCCTGTTCTCTAGGCAGACAGAGGGGCTAGCCTGTACAGTGAAGACCCCCAGGAAGGACCTACTGCCTTTTTGTAGGTACCACCGAGATTGCATTTCTAGCAGTCTTTGGGGCTCCTAGAGAGAAGACAGGCTGATCCTATTACCTGTATTGCTCCTTATTTTTAGAACTTTATAAAATGATTCATGAAGTATCACTCCAGATTGGAACTTGGCATGAAAAATATATGGAGTCTGTGAACCTGCCTGCCTGCCTGCCTTTCTTTCTTTCTTTCTCTCTCTCTCTCTTTCTCTCTTTCTCTCTCTCTCTCTCTTTTTTTTTTTTTTTGTCACACCTTGAGTTTTGGGAGGTTTTGGGAGCTATTCTCAACAGCAAAAATGGTATTTTGGATATTTGGAAATGGTTCTCAATTTTGACATTAATACTTCATGTCTGTCTTCTGTGTTTATTTTAATGTCTCCATACAGATTCAGTTTAGAATCTCCCCCATTTTCCTGGGCTTTAGTAACAATTTCAGTCTTTGTCTCCTCCACCATGGTAGGTGGTCAACCAACATGTGGTTGGTTGAGGTAGATGGCAGAAGATTAAAACTAATTTCCTACCAGGCACTGTCAAGATAGGAATCCTACGGTGTTTTGGTGGGCTCATTTTAACTCAAATACACCAACAATGGTACCTGCTAAGATGTTGATGTGTACTTTGTAGTTTAGGTTCTGTTATAGTTGTTTTAGAAAATCACTGCAGTTATTTTGTAGTATTGTTTGGTCCATTTATAGCATTATAAAGTTCAGCGAGTATTTGGAGGATACCATAACTCTTCAGAAATTGTCTGTTGCCAATTTATGCAATAATTTGCACATTCGGCCATAAAATATATATATACAATCGTGCATATGATCTGTAATAAATTATTGGTTGGGACTTGGGTTTGTGTCCATTAAGATTCATTTGGTTGGAAATGACAGAAATCAAACTGGCTTAACCACTTACAACATCTCTGCTCTTGGTGCATGGAACTGAGAAGCAGAGCAGGAGATGGGACCTCAGGGAGGCATGGTCAGTCTGGGCTTCTGGGCAGTTGTTTGCCTCTCTGACAGCCTGTCCTCGGCTGGCTTCTTATGTAGTGACAAAGAGGCAGAAGGGCTCAGGAGATAATCTCTGTTGTTTAATCAGGAGTTGAAGTGGGTTGATCTGGATTGCAACTTTAACTACTTGCAGTTTGCCACTAGTTTCACATGTCTTGGGGCAGCACCAGAAGAGCTTAGATCCCAGTCCCAGCACCAGAAGAGCTTAGATCCCAGTCCCAGCACCAGAAGAGCTTAGATCCCAGTCCCCACCTCACTGTGGAGGTATCATTCCATTTTCTGTCTTTGTACTGACTTCCTACAGGCCACCATACGTGGTAAAATTCTGGTGGAGTAGATACAGGGCACCCCTACTCCAGACCTCATCCATCATTTTGGCTGACATGGTCCATAAGAATTTGTCTGATTCCTTTTTTTTTTTTATTAAAGATTTTATTTATTTATTTTTGAAAGACAGAGACACAGGCAGAGGGAGGAGCAGGCTCCATGCAGGGAGCCTGACGTGGGACTTGATCCCAGGACTCCAGGATCACGACCTGGGCTGAAAGCAGCGTTAAACTGCTGAGCCCCCCGGGCTGCCCTGGCTGGTTCCTTCTAACCTCCTCAAGATCCTCTGTCTAATGCTGCTTTAGCTCCTCATCCCACCTGTGTGTCAGGGATGAATGTGGCTCTTGGTCTTTGTTCACTTAGGAAGGGCTCAATCCCTCTGAAATTTGGTTCCACTCTAAACTTCAGTGAGGCCTCAGCTCTCCAGTGGATTAAAAAAAAATGATTTTATGGTTTATACAGTGTTTTTTGTTGTTGCTATTTCAGTGGTAATGGTGTTCTGCATCTTACCTAGAAAAAGAACTCAAAATATATGGAATTAAAATGCTACTTTGAGTTTCTACATCTTAATATTTTAATGTAAGACTTTACTTACAGATAAAAAAAAATTAACTCCAAAGGGAGACACTGATATTTTAAGAATTATTATTACAGGGGAAAAGAAAGAAGAACAGTGACTGACTCTGTCTTTCTTGGGTGTGACCCCAAATGA